GGCGCAATATGGTTCATGGGGTCACGAAGAGTTGGACACGACTTAACGACTAAACAACAAAACAACTTCCAAATGCAGTTTTGGGAAATTAAAAAATAATCAGTATATTCTGGAGATACAATGAAAATGAAATGGCCTTTTAGTGCCAAGGTGACTTGACATTCTTCTTGATTGAAAGAGATCCATTATATGTTTTAAAGGTGATCTAAAATTAATGCATGAAGGGAATTTGAAACATCAGACAATGATTGACTGAGCTTTCCTATTGTCATAGAGGCAAGTTAAGCAGGAGAGTCTTCTGAATCTAAAGCCATGCATAAACTGAATTTCTAGGCTCTGAAAGAGAAGGAGAAGCAAGGAAATCAGGACCTAGGAAAGGAGGATTTGGGGTTCCAAAGAAGCCAACAGACTAAGAAAAGTAGAGGAATGTAAAAGAAGGAAACTGGAAGATGAAACAGCAGTTCCAAGAAGAAATGGAACAGGAGACCAGAAAACTAGAAGACAGAACAGGCAAGCAGTCTAAATCCAGTGAAATCTGCAGTAATGATCAAATCTTGAGTTGCAAGGCTCTCATTACAATTCAAAGAATACTTTAGATTTTTTTTTTAGAAAGCAGAAGCAGGTTGATTGCAAGGATGGTTACCTTTTTATTGGTCCTACTATAAAGTTCAATACTGAACATTTTTTATATATATTTGACACATATTATAACAGATATTAAAGATGGGGAACTCCATAGCAATGGCCCTTCAGCTGAGAAACCCTGAGCTATTGTAATTGGTTCCTCCCTTGACAAAAGTCTTAACCACAGATCTTAAATATGAGGCTGGTACATATCTGTAAAGAAGTTTTCAACATATCTTCAATATTGTCTTCGGCCTCATAAATCGATAAAAAGAATGTGAAATGGGGTTGAAAGTAAACAAACCGCTGGAGCAGATCTTAGAAAATTGGAGTAACATAAGTCCAGGTTTGCACATTGCTTAGTAATTGAGTAGCGGCGTTCTGCACCCATTGAAGCCCCCAAGATCATCTTTAACATCAGCCCCCTGCAGAGTACACTGCAAATGAAGTAGTTGAAAGAATGGAAGGGCTGATTTGTGGCAAATATAAGGAGCACAAAATAAGCAGCTGATCCAGTGCAGCCACCTGGACTGATAGAGAGGAAGCTGAAATTTGAAGTCCACCCAGAATAGGCCATCTTCTCATTTACTTACCAACAGTGTATCTATCTTGTCAGAATCTTGCTCTACTTTGTTCAGGGCACAGTGCTATATGCACCGATATGGGAACAGTGAGATTTATTATCATGCAAGTGCATGCATAAAATCAGGCTGTTAATGATGTTTCCTATTCCCGCTTGTAGTATATTCTTGCTTCCTCCACTAAATCATAGCATTGTCCCTTTACTGATTTCTAAGCATCATTTCTTGTGATTCTTGCTTTCCTCCTTCCTGCTCTGCCTTCACACTAATGGCAGCATCTTCAGATTCCAAACAAGCATTTTGTCCTGTCTCTTCTCGGTGAAATTTCATCATTTCATTCTGTCGGATTCTATCTTTAGGAAAAGGCTCCTGCTATCGACTGGCTGTCATGCCTTCAGGCAGCTTTCCATCCCATGCAGCTAAACATGTCTCAAACAATTGCTGTGCATGACATGGATTATTTGAAAGGAATGTCACAACTTATTGGAAAGTGGCAAAACCGGAGGTAAGATGTTGCTAGATTGTGCGGGGCTGTAACTTGACTTCTAAATCCTAGGAAGGCAGATGTCAGGTTTAGCCCAAAGAACTCCAAGAGACAATGAAAAATCAGTTCACCTATGTTTATTAGCCACACCCCCGAGCAAGATCCTTCCCAGCCTGAAACCCCAGCTCCCAAGCCAGCCAGCCACAACACCGTGAATTCCTCAGGGAGGTGCCAGCCTCATCCTCTTGTAGTTCCCACACTCTTGCGGTGAG